AGTTTTGGTTTTTTTTTGTTTTTCCACCAGAGTTGGAGGGGAGCACCAACAGGCATGCTGCAAGGAAATGATGCTTCAACACTGAACAATCACATGTGAATGGCTGATATCACAGCTAATAAAATGCTATCTATGTTTAAAATCATGGTGTCAAACTACATGAAAAGACACTTGCCAACACAAAACATACGGATGCACCAGCTGGGCTATTATTAGTATTGTTATAGTATGTTTTGCACAGGAATGTGGCCCACGTATATGTAAATGGTAATTGGTAGTTCTTATAAAAGTGCTTTTTCTACCCATTCACACATTCATATAAGCGCTTTTTTCACCTAAGTGCTTTCTATCTCCAATGGATGCATTGGAGAGCCATCAGCACTCCAGCCACCCCTGTAAGCTTACAGGCATTCCCATCCAAGTACTAACCAGGCCCAAACTTGCTTAGCTATTCCCACATTTCTCTGCCTTAATTTATTCAGTATTTGTTGTGATTCGTTCCTCCATTTTTTAAGTAAAACAAAAAGATCATCATTAAAAAATTAACTGCTTTTCATCATCACCTTTGAACTGGGTTCAGAGAAGTGTATCTTTCCCCTTGGCAAACCTGAGATGATCAAATGAGAAGCTTTGGATGAGGTGACACAGAATTAGCTTTTTCAGCCAGTGTAAAAGCGATATGACATAACAGGTAAAAATCAGCCACTGACATTATCTATCCACCTATCAGCTGATATGTCCCACATGTGTCCAGTATATTGATAGCAGTTAGTATAGGGAAGAACACAATGTTCTGCAAGAACACATTTACTCCAAATATGAACCAAGATATATAATAGTAAGAGCCCTGATTTCAGTTTCATAGAGTAAATCTGAGGATACACAATGAAAGAATGGAGTCTACCAAAATCTACAAAAAAGTAACATAAGTTCTCTATAATGCTTGGCTGCTACACCAACTGATTAATGGCATTATTTTCCAAAGCATCCCCACAGGTACCTAAAACTGGAAGCCCCCACTCACTCCCCTCCCCTACTTTTACTTATCATAACCCTTGCTCTCTGCAATCAGCAGACACTGAAACTGGAGCCCGAGGCATTCAGGAGCAGCTC